AAAGCATAATGGACAATAAAGGAAATAAAAAAATCAAGATATTTTTATAATAATGGCTGTTTCTATACTTTGGGAAAGTGTATAGGGTGAAATTCCCAGAGAGTACTAAACGAGAAAAAGTCTACTGAAAAATCCTGAAAATCTGTTATGTGATCAACGTCCATGACCAAGTTACTAAGGTAATTAACATTTTGAAGCTATTGAGACAGGTTTCCTTGAAGGGCCCACCCATACCCCAATCTTCAATCATCCACTTTAGTGTAGTTTACATATTAATTTTCAACATACATCACTGAATTAAAACTATAACCTGATTTTTCTAAAATGATTTTAATAATACTTTTAGTACTTGATTTAAAGGGCTCTTAGGCCATGTTTTTAGGGAATAAAAATTAATTTCTCAGAGAAGGCTTACATTTTCTGAAAGATGTATCTTTTTTATCCTGGAGGAAACTAACAAAACAAAACAAAATGAAATGAAACTGGGTCTTTAGGATCCTGTACGTTAAAATCAGCAGGCTGCTTTCAGTCAGTCTCATACAGTTCTGCTTTTCTGCTGTCCTTATGTCTGCTCTGAAGGTGTGATCAATCACAGGGATTCTAACTGCCATCAATACCCCTTTGTAACTGCAATGGTTCATGTGAACTCTTTCCATCTTCAATAACTGACACAGTGTCACCATCTGCTTCCAATAAAATTGTTTCTTTTTTTCTCAAGCAGAGTAAAACTGCTGAGATCGTAAAGGGTTTTTTTCCCTCCCCTTTTCATGCAAACGATTTTTTTCCACCATATTCTTCAATTTTTCCTCCAAGGCAGTAAAAAAAAAAAAAAAAACCCGAATAACTTCAAAAGAGATGTTTTTATTCCAGGTGCTAAGGAAGCCCAAAATATAATTGAAAAATATAAACTTTGATGATTTAATAAAGATGTTGCCTTAATTTGGGATCCTGGATGAATAAAACTTTGCAATACGCAAGAAAACTCACAGTTGGAGCTACACACCACTAAAAGGTTAATTTATTTTCTTTCATAAATGACATACTAAAGTAACAGAAATAATTAATAAATTTACATTTTATCTTCAACAAATAGTAGTGGGCTAAGATTCTCTTGCAACAATTTGTCATGAAAAAGCAGTAATTATCTATTGGATTGCTGTAGAAATGGATATAGAAAGTATAGAGAAGGGACTCAATTTATGACCTACTTACAAAATTGACAGACATTTGTGATACCTGTCATTTATTAAACAGCTAATGAGACAGATGATTTCCACACTTCACAGCCTGCCAGTTAGGTATTATTATCTCACTTTCTTCATAAGATAAATAAACCCCAAATCACACATATCTAATTGTGGCCAAGAAAGAATTCAGACAATGACCTAATGCACAAACCAATGCTCTTTTCCACTCATTCATTCTGTTTCTCTATTCATTCCCCAGTCAAAATTCCAGCATGTATACTTCCCTTTACCACCACTTAATGCCACTGCCTCATTGACTTAATTTGGCAAATATTATGTAACAAAAGGAGGGATACTTAGTTAGAAATAGAATTTAGTTTCTTAAAATACAGTTTCTGATTGCAATTTTAAATAACACATGTAACACTAAACCAGAGAACTAATGCAAAACCTAGATAGATCCAGTCCTATTCTGAAGGTCTTAGAACTGGAATAGGAAATATGGTTTGTAAAACGAATAATGAGCTCCTCAACGTCATATTTTATGTCAGTGCCTGGATTTTCTTTTTTAAGGTTTATTATCAAGTTCAAAGAACTAATTCCTCAATTATTTGCAAACCATTGGTTCTCATTTGCAAAATTTGGAGCAACCCTGGCCATTTTTGCTTAAAATGATAATGTAAATAACTTTAAGAACGAGAAAGAAGAAAATTACAGATGAAAGTTAGGAAGGGGATGGTTAACCTTCTTAAGAAGAAACATTGGTTTTTAAAATATTTGTAGGCTCTTTTCAAATAAACAATAAGGGACAAAATAGCCTGTTGAGATCCAATTTATCACTATTATGTTGTTCCTTAACTCATGATACTTTAGTGGCCGAATCCTAGATTAGATGTCAAATAAATGAGATGATTTAACTGACTTAGCTCACAGATCTCCAAAAACCTTGAATAAAGTCTAATTTTTAAAATAGTCAAAGGTGCAGTAGTTCTAAATGAATTGGGGAGGAAGTTGGTAGCCTCTGTAAAGTAGTTTAGAAGCCTGGAAGTTAATAGCATCTTTTCTGATGTGAGGAAAGCAGACAAAGAGAGTGATGGCATTTTAAACTTAAATTCAGGGGCGCCTGGGTGGCTTAGTCGGTTAAGCGTCCGACTTTCGCTTAGGTCATGATCTCGCGGTTCGTGGGTTCAGGCCTCGCGTTGAGCTCTGTGCTGACTGCCAGCTCAGAGCCTGGAGCCTGTTTCAGTCTGTGACTCCCTCTCTCTCTGACCCTCCCCTGCTCACGCTGTCTCTCTCTCTCCTAGAAATAAATTTAAAAAAAAATATTAAAAATAAAATAAAATAAAATAAACTTAAATTCAGAATATCATACTAAGTTACAACCCATCCTCTTTTATGACTTGTGGTGGTAAAGGTAATATGATCATAACAAGGTGTCAGGCAATTATAGAGACATGCACTATCTTTTTATTTAGATTTTGATCTATTCCTTATCTTGCAAGGACCTAATCCTTACAATATGTTAATGATGCCTTTTCTCAACAAGAAACCTCACTTGCAAATCTTTCTTAGGTACAGCAGAATTCAAGTCCCCAGCTTTTCTTGGGCCCAGAGCCAAGGAGTGTTTCATCCTACATTCTACACAGTAGACTACAGTGGCACAGAACACAGTCCAAATTCAGGGTAAAGCTATCCATTGTCTGTTCTGTCTTTGAATTCAATTCAATGGAGAATAGGGAAAGGAGCAGAGAGTTAATACTTTTCTTCTCCCTTAATTGGGAAAATCCAATTGAATGATCTCAATGAGCTGGAGTAGAACACTGTTCTAAGAGAAACTGCAAAGGAAGTTAATAGGTTCCAAGGGAAGAGGAAGAAAATAAATAATCCCCAATGAGTCATCCCATGAGAACTGCTGAATACTTGTCTTTGAAAACTCAGGAGGACACAAGAGGAAACCAATTTTATGGATTCAATCAACTTCATGCTCCACAGATTGGGCAAAGTACATACAACCATAACAAATCAAATTATAGATCAAAATATAGGTAATTTAACCATGTCACTTCCTAGAACTCTAAGTTCATGTCATTAGTAAGTGGAAAATTCCTTAGGTTTCAACCTCACACTAGGTAAAAATATGCATATTGTGTTAAGGAGAGTCTAGTTAGGAAGAAGCAACTTATGGAGTGATAAGCATACAAGACAGTGTATAGATTTATAACTCACAAGAGGCAACAGGAAGGACAACCAAAGCAAAAAATAGAGATAAGGGAACTACTTTAAATTATCTGTAAGAACTCTGCCTAGCTGAGCAAAGGTTGTGTTGTTCTTATAGCTAAAATGTTTACACACAAGATATACACAATTTAAGATGGAACGTGGTATTTCACTAAACAATGTATTCCATATTGGTGAAGATGAGGATGGAGGGCATTTGAGAAACTGTTACCAAACTAAAACTTCCGTATAACCCTAACTCTTTAATTTGACCCATCTCTGGAAGCAGCTTTAAGAGAATGAACTTTGAAACAAATATCTTTAAAATATTACTAACTGCTACTTTTATAACTGTAATCTTTTCCCAATAGGATCTTAATGATAATTCCAACTTCACCTTATTTAGGTCCTGAGGGCCAGACCAGTTGAATCCTGAGTTTTCATGAATAAATTTCAAATAATAAATGGTTAATTTATTACCCCAATTTAAGTAATTGTGGAATATTCTAATTTAAACTTCATTTTACCCTAAATTGTTTTCTTAAAAAGAGTTCAATCAACTAAAACCAGATTTAAGAAACCAAAAAAAGCCTTGAAAAACACTACGTTTAAAATATTACATATACAATATATTATTTTTCAATTTAAATGATGAGTAACATTATCAGAAATAGCCACTGAATTAAAGGTTTGTGCTGTGTCTAGTACCCTCCCAAATATTTTCCCTTCACACTATCTCCAGGAAAACAAAAACAAAAACAAACAAACAAAAACATCCATTTAAAATATGACCTTAAAAATTGCCATGATTGAATAATTAGAAACAAGTAAACAAAGTCACTGGCAATCAAAGGTAGCATGGGTTAATGTATTTTTTTTTCCAGTGGTTAGATATAAACTGGTTCTTTTTGTCAAAGTTGGATGGGCTAGAAAGACAATTATATACTCTAGGCAAACTCTCCATCTGACTGAAAGTTGACATAAACTTTCTTCTTAGTCAAACTCCAAGTACTCTTTGGGACAAACTGAAGTAATGAAGTATCTTTTCTTTAGTACAGTCATTAAAAAACTTCCTTTTCAATCTATACACATAACTCAAAGCTAAGTGAGCTAGCACGGAATTAAATCTTCACTGAGATTTAATGTAAAACAATACTATCTTGGCTTGGCTATGGTGCTACTTTTGTTAAAAAAAAAAAAAAAAAGAGGAACTATCAAACACTTGAGGTAACCTAGAAAGCACAGAGCATATCACAGACATCTTAAAGACAAGCATTTTAAACATTTTTGCCAGTGCTTCTCTGAGAGCAAGTTCTTTAAACAGAACTTACCAATTTTTACAATATTAAAAAAAATACATCCCTCAAAAATAGCCCATCAATGCTAAATCAAACTTTCTGTATTTCTACAAAAATAGATACACATAGAGCTACAAAATTGTATTCCTGAAAGGATGAGCATTTTCATTTGTGGTTCATCTTTTCCTGACAAGGTGGTTGGTTCATAAAGGAAAAAAAAAACAAAACAAAAAACAAAAAAACCCAGAATGAAACAAAAATTAAATCATGTATTGATAAAAGCAAGACAAAAAAAAAAAAAAAAAAAGATTTGCACAGTTGGCAAAGGCTCAGATGAGGGGAAAAAAACAAACAAAAATGCTTTTCTTTAATGTCTAGGACCCACTCTGCTTTCTCAAGAAAAGGCTCCAAACCAAGGTTAGCTGGTTGACATTTCCTCTTCTTCTTCCATGTCTAGTGTGTCCCACTGCAGAATGGGAAATCCCGGCAGCCTCTTTCCCAGTGGGCCCATGGATTCATACTTCAACCTGACTTTCTAATACTGTGTTTCAGTACCAGGGTGATTCCTTGCTCTTGTCTTGATGCTGCAGACCTAGAATAGGTGACAATGAAAAAATGAAAAGCATTAGTACACGAAACACTCAGAAATGGGCCTAATCTACAATGCATTGCATATAGAAACCAAAAAGACAATCTAGGCAACTGTGAGGTATGGCATAAGGATGACCTGATGTCTCAGGAAATTTCTATGCTGGAGCTCACATTTTTCAAAAAGCCAACCAACACAGCATTGACAGAAACCCTAGATTAGAGCAGTGATATTTGTACAGTATAAATTCTTTACTGTGGTTTTCATTTTCTTGGAGTATAAGTGAACAATCAATAAAATAAAATAGTATAAATGAAACCCTTTTATTTCTAATTTCAATAGGAGCTGATATTTGGAGAAAACAACGTAAACAATCTTTGGGGCATTTAGGTAGCACTTCGGTTAATACTTTTCAGCAACAATAACACTTTTGAACTAAAATAGTAAATTTTGGTGCTATTTTGAAATGTGTTCTGCATATTTTATATTGCTACAAAATATGGCAAGCAATTAAACATGGTTAAAAGCTGGATGTAATATTGCCAGTAAAATAGACACAGCTGATTCACAGCTAAGAACACACACCTGTATTGTTTTTATAAATTTACTTATTTTTTAATCTTCCTCCAGAAAATATTTAAGATGGCTTGTAAAAATCTATACATCATAAAAATCTATACTTCAAAGCAAGAAAATAAAATTTACAGTTAAGTTTTAAAAAAATTTTTTTGTAGTTTTTTTCATTTTTGAGACAGAGACAGAGCATGAGTGGAGGAGGAGCAGAGCGAGAGGGAGACACAGAATCTGAAGCAGGCTCCAGCCACTGAGCTGTCAGCATAGGGCCTGATGCGGGGCTCGAACGCACAAACCGTGAGATCATGACCTGACCTGAAGTCAGACGCTTAACCAGCTGAGCCACCCAGGCACCCCTACAGGTAAGTTTTTAAAAGTAGTAACAAAAGGACAATAAGCGAGTATGTAGAGCTTCCAACTGAAAACTAAAGTGAGTAGGAATAAGTGTTTCAAACAAGAAACAGAAAATGTGACTTGTGGAGTCAGGTGACTAATTTCTGATATGGACAATTAGTATAGCACCTTCAGCTTATACCCATTTGAAGGCACTTACATCAGTTTCCTTTATTTTTGGCATTGTTTGGAAGAGTAAAAACAGGGAACTGATTGCTCTTAAGTTGTTTAAAACCAAATGCCAAAACATGAAGGAAGGCTATTGAATAAGTGGGTGGAAATGCAGCATGATGCTGCTGTGAGGGTGCTCAGATCACAGGATGTTTTCTTGATCCTTGATCTAAAATTTTTCTAAGTCTGGGCTGATTGTCAGACACTGAATGGTTAAATGAGCCAGTATGATTCTCAATGATAACTGTTACTAAAACAGCTACAGTGATTTCATTTCTTGTCCATCCAACTTGTCAAAGAATTTCACAAAACAATGAGCGCCACTACAAAACAGTCAGTGATGGGAGACATTAAGACAATCTACAAAAAAGGCTTCATAAAGGGAGAGAGAATAATAGAAAAAGTCAAAGAAGCACCTCATAGAACCACAAGTCACTATATTCTACTGCACTTGCATACTAGGGAAAAAGCAATACTACCTGAAAAAAGGTTAGTTCCATCTTAAGGGTTTTGTTTTTTTTTTTTTTTTTAATCTCTTGTGACTAGTATTATGTTTAGATACAGAGTCAATAGTTTTCCTTTCCAAGAATATCCAATGGAAAAAAGACAGTCTTTTTAACAGATGGTGTTGGGAGAACTGGACAGCAACATGCAGAAGAATGAAACTAGATCATTTTCTCACACCATGCACAAAAATCAACTCAAAATGGATAAAGGACCTGAACGTGAGACAGGAAACTATCAACACCCTAGAGGAGAAAGCAGGAAACAACCTCCTTGACCTCCACCGCAGCAACTTCTTACTTGACACATCCCCAAAAGCAAGGGAATCTAGAGCAAAAATAAACTGTTGGGACCTCATCAAGATTAAAAGCTTCTGCACAGCTAAGGAAACAACCCAGAAAATTAATAGGCAACCAACGGAATGGGAAAAGATAGTTGCAAATGACATATCAGATAAAGGGTTAATATCCAGAATCTATAAGGAACTCACCAAACTCCACGCCCGAAAAACAAACAACCCAGTGAAGAAATGGGCAGAAGACATGAACAGACACTTCTCCAAAGAGGACATCCAGATGGCCAACAGACACATGAAACGATGCTCAGCATCGCTCCTCATCAGGGAAATACAAATCAAAACCACACTGAGATACCACCTCACGCCGGTCAGAGTGGCTAAAATGAGCAAATCTGAGAACTCTAGATGCTGGCGAGGATGTGGAGAAACGGGCACCCTCCTTCTCTGTTGGTGGGAATGTAAACTGGTACAGCCCCTCTGGAAAACAGTGTGGAGGTTCCTCAGGAAACTAACAATAGAACTCCCTTATGACCCAGCAATAGCACTGCTAGGAATTTACCCAAGGGATACAGAAATGCTGAGGCATAGGAGCACATGTACCCCAATGTTCATAGCAGCACTCTCCACAATAGCTAAAACATGGAAAGAGCCTAAGTGTCCATCAACAGACGAATGGATCAAGAAGATGTGGTTTATCTATACCATGGAATACTACATGGCAATGAGAAACAATGAAATCTGGCCATGTGTAGCAACATGGATGGACCTTGAGGGTGTTATGCTGAGCGAAATAAGTCAGGCAGAGAAGGACAAATACCATATGTTTGCACGTATAGGATTAGGAGGAACTTGACGGAGGACCAAGGGGGAGAAGAAGGGCGGAAATGGTGAGGGAAAGGGAGAGAGGCAAACCATGAGAGACTCTTGAATGCTGACAAAAACTGAGGACTGATGGATGTGGGGGGGAGGGGGGGATGGGCATGAAGGAGGGCACTTTGGGGATGAGCACTGAGTGTTATGTAGAAACTAATTTGACAATAAACTATTTGTAAAAAAAAAAAAAAAATAGTTTTCCTTTCCAAAAAAACAAAAAAAAAAAAAAAAAAAAGGAGGAGGAGGAGACAATAGGAGGAAGAGGGAAGGAAGAAAAAAGATTGGGGTATACCAATTCACTCTAAATTTGCTTTACTTGTTTTCAATGATCTTGTGGTTAAAATAATTTGCAACCTGACACAGTCTTTGTTTGGTGACTCTTATAATCTAAACCACCTTAACTGACAATCTGCTGACTGCATAAATATTTTTTTCATTATTGAAACATCTCATCTTCTGTATGACTCAGTATTTCCACACTTGAAGACTCCATCAATCTATAGAATGTCAGCACGGCAAGTCATGAATAGCGTTGGAATCATCAAGTGGTTTCAGTGCCTTTTTTCATCTTAAATAAAGGCAATCTCTAGTTTGCTCTGCGAAGACATATGACTCCTTCAAAATCATGTTCATCTTTTTCTGTGGACAAGTATTGCATTACTTAACATAGCCCTGCGTTTTCCAACCAGAATAACAGAGGGTATTTTCTCATTAAAACTTCATCTCTTCAATTCTTTTGCTTCCAAGTCTTTGTATTACTCTAATGCAAACCTTAAAAAAAAATCAGTTCTTCTGTGGCCTAAAATGTATTAAATACCTAATGTGATCCCTGTGGTTTAGCCTATTCTTGGTGGTGGTACATTAAATCAGACCTTTGCTTTAACTACCAGGTATTTTGAAAATATCCATAAACATTCAACAATAGTCATAAGTAAAACACAAAAAAATGAACAACCACAAACAAAATATCCTACTACTAATAGGTTGCAACAGACAGAGAAGTGGTACTATGATTTTTCTTGTTAGATGACTGATGAGGAAAGATCACGATATTTAAGAGTCAGCTAGTACATTTACTTTTCTCAACAAGGGTTAAAGAGAACAAAATTATTAACTTATTATCCTTAGGTGGTCCCAAGAATCCTTATGTGATCTACATACATTTGGGGTTTCCCCAACTTCTTACCAGAACATGAAATCTACTTTGCTGTAATTTTGCTTCTAGTCAGGCTTGTTTTGCCTCTCACTTTCTTAACTCAAACCTATGGGAAATTGGTTCATATAGCATATCCTGAAATCTCCCCACTAGCTGTCTGAAATCACTCATGTTTTTCTTCTTGTTATCAGTAACTCACTTTTAATTTTATTGTTTGGTCTCTGAGATTTTTAGTAGAAGGGAAAATAAACATAAAAATGTCAGTGAATGTTTTCTTCAGGCTGAATAGGACAGGCACTGTGTGAAGTGCTTTACATGAAATATCTAATTTAACGCTCCCAACTATGCTACAATATTTATTTTACGAATGAGAAAATTGAGATTAGGAGAAACTACGAAACTATTAAATGGTAGAGCTAGGATTTAAAACAAGGTGGTCTGATGTCAGAGTCAAAGGTCTTAGCCACAGTGTATATGGGTCTCTCCCATATGGATTATACTTATCATTGACTATGTCACTAGCCTATTCTACTACAACTCTTCAAGTCAAAATCCGCTTATTAAAGCAATATGAGGAAAAAATTAATACATTTTTATGTTCCTTTTTGTGCTGTTTAAAAATAGTCTGATTTGATATAATCAGTATCAGAGTTAATAATATAGCTCTTTTAGTAATCTTTTTAAACTAGAAATCTTCAATGATAGTCTTTGAATGTCTTTTTCAATGTTTTTTCTAAGATGCAGTAACTGGTTACACAGTAGTTTATTACACTTCAGATGAAGACTGCTTCAATTGTGTAATAGGATATTCCACATTAATTGATATTTTTTTGATATATAATCCTCCCCCCCAACACACACACACCACAAAAAGAAACCTTCCCCAGTGTGAACAACGAAGACACAGGGTGGTCATTTGGTGGTTTTCAGAAATGGGACCAGAGAACAAAGACATTAGATTGTTGGCATCAGAGTTTGAGAGTCTAGGATTCAGTCAGGAAAAAACCCTGAATGGAAATGTAAGCCCACAGACCC